GAGACACTGCTCTCAGCTCTAACCTTTGGAAACACTGCTCTCAGCTCTAACCTTAGGAGACACTGCTCTCAGCTCTAACCTTTGGAGACATAGATAACCATTTATTCCATTTCCCATTTCGTAGACTTAAAGAGTTTTACATTTTCTAAGCAAAACATCACCAGAATTACTCAAGGTACGTCTGCTCTTTAACAATGACAAAAGGGGCCAGGCATGGCGGCACACACCTTTATTCCCAGCACTTGGGAGGCAAAGGCAGGCGGATCTCAATGAGTTTGAGGCCAGCCTGGTCTACAATGCATGTTCCAGGACAGCCAAAGCAGCTACACAGAGAAAATCTGTCTTGAAAAACCAAAAACCAAAAGAAAAAAAGCTCCCTAAACCTGGAAATACAGGTTTGGCTTTGATCACAAAGTTCATTGTTACAGAATTCTTCACTTAGCTTCTTCTTAGATGAACCAACGGACCGTGACGTGACACGCTGCAGTCTGTGATTCGCTCTTCCGCAGGGGCTGGCAGTCTTTTCCTCCCAGAGGACACAGAGCAGGGCACTAGTTCTGAGTAAGGAAGCTTCTAGTGTGTCTACGCCAGAGCTGACAACTCCTAACTGCCTACAACCACGCTTCATTCAGAACTCAAATCAGTCTGAGACTAGTTCCAGGACCCCTGGTGGCACCGACTGCAGCCTTCCACACCACGGTTATTTTCTGAGTGTTGACAGTGGTCAGAGGCTAGGTTTGGTGGTTTCTCACACAGCAGGAAAGGTAACCTCCTTACCTCCAGGCCGTTCATGGGCTCCATCAGTGTGCAGCAACATTGCAATCGGCATTCCAACGTTTTTTGACCTGCCAGCTACAACCACGTTCTTCCCTAAGGTTGGAATGCCTGCAAAAATAAATATATAAGCACACATGCAGCATATGTATGCATGTGTATGCGCGTGTGTGTGTGTATGGGTGTGTATATACATTAAATGACACAGCACAGATATCAACTTTGAATAAATACAACCAAAGCCACACATGAAAATGTCTCATTGCCTACATCTAAGCTTTACCCAGAACTTGAATGTCTTTGGAGCCAGTCCCATAACAAGTGCCTCATCCACACATACAGATCTGTCTATAAGCCAGGTTGGGCTGCAGCTGCCTCGTAGAGAAAGTACAAAGAACCCAGGCGAAGGCACACTGTAAACTGCAAGATGTCTTGGGATTCTTGCTGTCACCACTGCTAAACCTTACATTTCCTCCCACAAGGCTGTAGAACGGAGAGAGCCATCACAGGCAACAGCTAGGAGGCGAACCCTGCAGATGGGAACCTGGGCTGGGGGTTGGGGTCCCACTCTGTGTTGCTGAGGCTTTCTGCCATACCTGAAGTATGTGGGGCTGGGAGTGTTTCAATGTTGGAGTTATGCAGATGTGAGAATATCTGCCTAGCTCGTACTCGAGTATCAATCCGAAACTATCAGTGCCATTTCCCTAACACTGAAGCAGAAATGCAATTTAAACACACACCTACCAGTTCGCTTAATTATCTCCCACACACCCCACGGGGTCGCTGGTAGCATGGAATACTGGTCCAGACACATTCGCCCCACGTTAATGACATGAAAGCCATCAACATCTTTGTCAGGAGAGACGGCGTTGCAGATCTTTCTCTCATCAATATGCTCTGGGAGTGGCAGCTGGACAAGAAGGCCGTCTACGTTTTCGTCATCGTTCAATTTCCTGATTGAATTCAACAGCTCTTCCTCTGAAATGGAGGCTGGCTTCACAATTGTCTCGCTGTTGATTCCTATTGTAAAAAAGGTCAAGGCTTAAAAGAACATCAAAGTACACAGCTCCAAACCCTAGGGGATGGATAAAGACTAAGTTCTTCTCTGGGGAAGAAAAAAAAATACCAGAGTACTTAGCGCGCATGTGTGCCCACCACGGCTCGCCCAGCTTCCAATCATATACTCCTGAACACCAGCTCAGGGCTCGCTGCCCATTGTTCTGTGCTTATTCCAGAACCTCATTCTGAGACAAGGAAGGAGCCCGAGGCGCAGATAAAATGCCAGCCTAGAGAGCGGGAGAAATGGCTTAGCACACTTGCCGAGGACCGGAGTTTGAGCCCACGTACCCATGGAAAAGACGGGTACGCCTGCACACATCTCTAAACCCGGTGCTTAGACAATGAGACCCGAGGATTCTCCGAGCCTGTTGGCCAGAGGACAGTCTCTGGGTTCAGTGAGTCTTCAGATTCAAAATGTAAGGGGAAGAGTAAAAATGCAGGCATTAGGTAAACAAGTGTAACAAATGTTACCAATTTTTAAGAGTATCTCTGTCTTGGGTGTTTAAGATTAAGGGAAAGATTGAGCAGTAAGATGAAGAGGCCTCTGAGGTATAAACAGTTAGAGGTCTGAAGGAAATGGCTGACTTCTAAGGAAGTGGTTTTTGAGTTCTTCACTGATTGGCTGTATAAGCATGGGGTTAAAGTGGCTCAGGTCTTGGGGGATGGGAGATTTGCAGCTCTGTCCTTCAGGCACTGCAGATCACCATATGACAGCAGGTTAGAGGCAGCCAGCTCAGATGTTCCTGTCTGCTCCTGTTACAATCGGTGGTCTGAGCTTCTGGAGCCTTCCTTTGTGATGTGGCGGGGCTTGAAGGACCAACCCGTGAGACACCTCACTGACCCAACAGAGACTGTTACTGCTCAGGGGAAGAAAATGTAAAAAGTGCTCAAGGCCACCAGCAAACTGTTAGGGCTAAGGTCAGAGTAGAGATTACAGCCCAGAAGCCACAGCAGGGCAACCCATCCTTCACTGAAAGCCAGCGAGTACCAATTCTTTCCACAGTGAAGTTTTTGATTCACCCTGGTCTTATGTGTTTGAGTTTTTAAATTGTTGTTGTCTGAGTTTTTTGTCTTGTCTTTTAGACAAGGTCTCATGTAGTCCAGGATGACCTCAGACTTGCTAAGTGGCCAAGGCTGGCCTTGAATTCCTGGTCCTCCTGACTCATACTCCCAAAGTGCTGGGATTATGGAGTGGGCCGTCGCCACTGAGGGCTCTGCTCGGAAAGAGGAAGCATGTCCGAGAGTGGCCTAACCTCAGACAGACTCCAAGGCAGCAACACTAGGGCTCTGACACGACACTTACCCACTTCAGCTGCCGCCCTGGTCTTGTTGAGGACATAGGAGTGACTGGCGGGATTGTCACCAACCAGAATGACACTGAGGTGTGGCCGCTTGTTGCCCAAGGCCACCCACTCTTCCACCTCCTGCCTCACTTCTTGCTTGATCTGCTGAGCCAGTTTCCTTCCAGAAATGACGACAGCTTCTTTTCTGCAGAAGGTGACAAAGTTACAAAATTGTAGCTTGGGTCTTTGCAAAAACAAAAAGCGGTGGAATGCGCCAACTGGAAAAAGTTGTCGTTCAAAACCGAAAGGCTTAGGTTTACGTGGGAGCAGAAGGACGGATTTACGGGTGGCCACCTGCGGCCAGTTCAGGATGGTCAGTAACTGAAACAATTCTTGGAAGCTTAAAAGTCTAAATTGCTGACAGCTGGCACTGGCCCGGGCAAGCTTCCAGACCAGGTTCTCTCAACCACCTCCTCATAGCTACCCAAAGTTTTATCACTTCAGTGGGATTTCCTTGCCCCACCCTTTACTGCTCTGAGGCAAGCCAGTTTTCTTAAATATTGATATTCCATTTGAAATTTGAATGATGCTGGTGGGTGGTATTACTAGCTGCTCATGTTTCCCAGGTAGTGGACTGATTTTCTTTTTCAAAAAGATTTGTTTTTATCTTATATGTATTTGCCTGCATGTATGCGTATGTACCACGTGTGTGCGGTGCCTGAGGAGGTCAGATGAGGGGGTCCAATCCTCGGGAACTGGAGAACAACAGACAGTTGTGAGCTGCCATGTGGGCCTTGGGAATAGAACCTGGGTCCTCTGCAAGAACAAGAACAAGCGCTCTTAACCCCTGAGCAACTCTCCAGCCCCACTCAACTAGGTTTTAATTTTGACAGCACTGTCTAGGACAGCTGTCCCTCTTCAAGCACTGGTTCCAAGATGCCTTCTCTGCCTACAGACGGCCAAGTCCCTTATATAAAATAGTGCGCTATTTGCATAATCTCTGTACACACACCTCACCCCTTAAATTACCTATTGATTGTTTCTAAACCTAACACAATGCAACGAACAGTTGTTCTATATTGCTGATGAAATAACAAGAACTAATGGTCTATGTATGTTTAGAATGATTCAGAGGCCCTGGCTGTGTACAAGCTATATCATCTGGTTAGTAGATCAATAAACACAACTCTGGGCAGGTCAAACCTCAGAATACCTGCCACTGCTTAGTCCCTTTCGGGGACTGTTCTGCTAAGATGGCATGATGGCTAGTGTTGTCAACCTGGAAGAATCTAGAATTTCCTGGCAGACAGGCCTTTGGATACGACAGTAAGGCACCGTCATCTTGACTGCTTTTCTTGAGATGGGAAAACCACTATGGGTGGCACTATTCCCTGACTAGGATAGAAAAAAAAACGAGAAGCCAGGCAGTGATGGCGCACGCCTTTAATCCCAGCCCTTGGGAGGCAGAGGCAGGTGGATCTGAGTTGGAGGCCACCCTGATCTACAAAGGACAGCCAGAGCTACCCAGAGAAACTGTATCTCCAAATAAACAAACAAACAAACAAACAAACAATAACAACAACAAAAGCAAAGAAAAAAAAGAAAAGAAAGTCGAAAGGAGCTGAGTAGCAAGTATCATCCCTCTGTTTCCTAACTGTGGGTGTGATGTCATCCCTTGCCTAAAGCGCCTGCTGCCTGGACCTCCCACCACGATGGACCATAACCTTGAACTGTTGCTTTTGTCAGGTAATATCACAGCAACAGGACGTAACAAGACTGGGGTAGAGTCCTCCTCCCAGCTGGCGCTCTGCTCCACCCCATTGTCCATTCACAGCTGACACAGCTAGTCCAAGGCCAGCTGAGTACATGAGACCCTGCAAGGGTAGGAGAAGGATGTATACCACGCTAAAAAGGAATTACACACACACACACACACACACACACACACACACACACACACACACACTGTACTCTGTGAGAAGGATTTAGCTTGAACTTCATAAGAAGTTTCTTTGGAAAGCAGTAAACAGAGAGGAAACAGTAGAGGCTCACTTGAACGAACCAAAAATGATGGGCTGGAGTTAAGGACGCAGGGTTCTGGGGAGGCGGTGTTTCAGGTCCTCTTCTCTGCTGCAGAGAGAGGCTCTGGATGTTATGCCAATTAATTAAAAAAAAAAGACAAAGCAACACAAAGCCAGGCCACAATGTAACGAAGTTTTATAATCTAACTGCATTCTAAGCCAGGCCACAATGTAACAACGTTTTATAATCCAACTGCATTCTAAGCCTCCACCACTTCCTGCAGCCCTGTAAAACATGAGCCATTTGACAAGGCCCTCCATCTCTGCCATGGGCCAAATCAAGTCACTGCAGAAAGGGAGTTGACACTGAGCTTGGACCCAAGATTAAAAAAAAAATTAAATTCTAAATCTGTACACTTAATTTAGATATTAAATGCTTCCACAGATATGTTTAGAAATTTTCCTATTAAAATGACAGAACAGACCAGAAAGAGGAGGTCTAATAAAGGTCAAAACAAATACCCCAGCCAGTAATGCTTACTTTCCTCTTAAGCCAAGAGTTAGTAATTTTCCAGTCAATTAGTATTAGGGAAGCTTATAACTCCCAATCAACTTATTTTGGAAAAAGTTCTGCTACTTAACTAGTAGGCTGGTAATGAGAATGGGGGGGGGGGGGTTAATACTGATTGAACGCTAGGTATTTTGTCAACAAATTTACGTAAGTTAGTTGGTTACCGTGGCTGTTATGAAAAGCCTGTTTTATACAGAAGAGAAAATGGATGATAGTGAGAAACGAGATTCAAGTGTAAACATTCATTTACTCCTCCGCCCACTGTCTCCTAGGCTACAGTACTCTCCCTTCAACCATGGAGTTTATGTTCCTGAAACCCTGGGACAGCAAGGACGGCAATTATCTAATGTGCAGGGCAGTTAGCACAGATTGCCTTCAGAGATAAGGAGCCCACACTTCTCAGAAGAGCAGGCAAGAGTAAGCCTGGAGCGGGAGCAAACTGGTCTAGTTATGGATTACAGGATCTTTTCAGTTAGCCAGCTCTCTAAATATGTGGGCCACAGCCACTCGTGACCTAAACTCTGGAAGAGGAAAGAAAGAATAGAGAAATGAAAGATGGAGTTCAAAGAGGCAGGTCAGGATCAGATCTTGGAAAACCCTTCCAAGGTCTCCGAAAACCCAGCATGGCATGCTCCAATATGCAGGGCCCCGGAAATATCTACCCGGGGGGGGGGGGGGGGGGGGGGGGGGNGGATCTCACCTGTTTTCCCTTCAACAGAAACAAAAGTCTCACTGTGGAAGGCGAAGTTTTTATCGACTCTAAATTTCTAGTATCAAACTCTATGATATGTTGGGGAAAAAACAACCAGCTGTTACAAGACACGGGATTTAGGCAATATAAATGCTCCCAAGAAGCACTGCAAAGCACAGATGGGGAAGAATTCACAATCCCCATGGACTCTCCTATCTAGGCTCAGAAATGGGAGTTTGAGGTCCAGAATAATCGACAAGTCAATTATCCCCCGAAAGAATACCCATCAGATTTTTTTTTCTTCAATCGACTACTTACTTTTCCGGGGATGAGGGGGGTGCTTCATTTTTTTTTTCAATTTTTAAAAATTACGATAAAATACACATAGGAAATTTACCACTGTGACTTTTTTTTTAATTGTTATTTTGAGATTGGGGAGGGAGGTGTCTCACACTGCAGGCCAAGCTGGTCTCCAACTCACTACATTGTCCAAGCTGGCTTTGAACTCGCAGTAATTCTCCTACCTCAGAAGCAATCCCAACACGCCCGTCTCTGGCAATTTCCAAGCACACGGTTTACGTGGTAATAAACACTCTCAGAATGGTGTGACCACTACGGCAGTCCACGTGCTGAACGGAAGGTCTAACACCGGAGCTCCCCCTAAAACAATACACCTCCACTTCCAGCAGCCCCCAGCAACTTCTGGAGCATGTATCACCTCAGGTCGCCTAGGCTAGACCTGGCAGGCTACAAAGTGGACTGCGGGGACCACCGCGGGGTTCGGACATCTTGCGAACCACACCCACTCGGGAGGAGGGAAGTCGGTACCCCTGGAGCAAGCCGGCTGGCGGATTTCATCAGACTGCAGCAACCTCGGCTGCCGCTAGGGTCCGGGAAAGGCGGACCTCTTCGCATCCTTCCCTGAGGCGGCAGATCGGTGTCCCCTGGGCAGCGTCCGCATCTCCACGTGTGCCCGGGTGCCACGTCGCCCCACCACACCCCTCCCGTCGGAGGCCGGTTTCGCGCAGGAAAGATGCTCCGGTAGGGAGGACATTTCTCCACACCGCACTCCCGCGGACCCGCTCCCTGACACACTCACCGCACTGCCGCCAGGTGGAAGGGTTGCAGGCGGAGGTGGCAGCCGTGCGCGGGGCGCAGCAACCGCACAGCCCACGAGGATAACAGAGAGGATGAAGCCATGACCCACGCCGGTGCCCGCTCCGGAGAGAAGCGCGCGCGCGGGCCACAAAGCTATACCTCCGGCCCGCGGAAGCCCCACCTACCGGCGCGTCCATTGGTGCCTGAGCCGGAGGCGGAGCCAATAGAAGGTCTCCATTCTACGTAAGCCGGCCCGGTAGCACATTCTGATTGGCTGAAGGAGTCAAGCCCCTAACAGAGGCGGCAGTGGTCCTCTCCTCCGCCCCCCAGTCAGGCCAATGGAATCTGGGGTTCATTCATTCATTCATCCACTCTCGAACAAAAGTGTGAACCACCTACTGTGTGCTGAGGATCTGAAAGGCACTAAAGTAATATTTTTTAAAAAATAAAAAAAAATCACCATTTGGCAAAATCATACTGAAAATTGATCCGGAATGTCAAAACAACTGGGTGAAAACCGAATAAAGAGCAAGATACTTACATGTACCCTGTCACATAGGGGCTGGAGAGATGGCTCAGAAGTTAAGAGTGCTTGTAGCCCTTGCAAAGGATCCAAGTTCGATTCTAAGTCTCCTAGTGGCTTAAAACCTCTTGTAACTCCAGTTCAAAACCTTCTCCAGCTCCAGGGGATCAGACACTTCTGGCCTCCAAGGGCACCCTCACATACACACACACACACACACACACACACACATATGATACACACACACACACACACACACACACACACAGAGGATCAGACACTCTCTGACCTCCGAGGGCTTCCCATGCACATAAGTAACAGACATATAATTAAAAGTAATTTTTTAAAAAGTTTGCCAGGAAGTTTGAAGAGACGGCTCAGCGGTTAAGAGCACTTGACTGCTCTGGTACTGAGTTCAATTCCCAACAACCTTATGATGGCTCACAACCATCTATAGTGGGATCAAATTCCTTCTTCTGGTGTGCATGAAGAAAGAGTTCTCATATACATAAATATATGGATAAGTAAATCTTTAAAAAAAAAAAAAAAAAGATTGCCAGGGGCTGAAAAGATGGCTCAGAGACTAAAAGTACTGACTGTTCCAGAGTTCCATCCCCTGCACCTCAATGGCTACTTACACATCCATGTAGGCAAAACACAGAAAATGTAAAAATGGGGGAGAAAAGGTTTTGGGTAGTAAAGAATACAAAGGAATCTTTTTTTAAAAAAAATTATCCTACAGCACTCGGGAGGCAGAGGCAGGCGGATCTCTGTGAGTTAGAGACCAGCCTGATCTACAAGAGCTAGTTCCAGGACAGGCTCCAAAACCACAGAGAAACCCTGTCTCGAAAAACCAAATATATCCTAGTGTTTTATATGTGTGTGTGTTTACCTGCATGGGTGTCTGTGCTAGAAGAGTGCCTGGGGCGATGGAGGCTGGAAGGGGGCGTTGGATCGCCTGGAACCAACGTGCTGGACTTTTGTGAGTCCTGGTGCAGATGCTGGAAATGGGACTCTGGTTCTCTGAGGAGCAGCGGGTGCTCTTCATTGCTGAACAATCTCTCCAGCCCCATACTCTTTTTTTTTAAATGAACAAAATTAACATTGCCATTCATGAGACAAACAAACATTTTATGACCCTTATATGAGTCATCGACAAAAACACATCACTTAAACAAATCTGAAAATTTAATTTAGAGATGGTCCCAAACCAGTAAGTCTCCACGGATGGTTAATCGTCCATGGATTTAGAGTGACCCAGGAGACACACTTCTGGGTGTGTCTGTGAAGGTTTAACTGAGGAGGAAAGGTCCACCCATCCCATGGACTGGGGAATGGAGAGCAATAAAATGGGGAAAGGAGAAAGCCTGCCTGTGTTCCCCAGCTGTTTCCCAGCCTCAGGCTCCCACTACCACAGCTGGGAGCTGCTCTGCCTCCCCCACAAGAAGGGGCTGTTTATCCCCAAAGCCCATGCTACTGTGAACGCTTCTTCCCTAAGGTTCCTTCTTGTCAGGTAGTGGGTGGCAGTAATGAGAAAATAAACCAATAAACCACCTAAGAAAAGCTAGACATTTCTCATTTCTATGTGGAGAAGAGAGATTATGAGCTTGGAAGTAAACACTGTCCAGCAAAAAAAAAAAAAAAAAAAAAAAAAAAAAAAAAAAAAAAAAAAAAAAAAAAAAAAAAAAAAAAAAAAAAAAAAACAAAAAAAAAAAACACCATGTTCCTGAACCTTTGGAATAAAATAGATGATCTTAATCTACTTACAAGGAAATATCAGACAGGTCCCTGTATGAGGTATGCCAACTATAGTCTTCAAAAGTGCCAAGATCATGATAGAATGAGGAGATGTTCCAGATTAAAGGTTATGATCACAAAATACAACCTGTGACTCTGAAATGAATCCTGGACACAAACACACAGACACACAGACACACGTGTGTGCACACATAATTTTAAAACTATTATAAATTTGCATGTTTTTTTTCAAGACAGAGTTTCACTGTGTAGCCCTGGCTGTCCTGAAACTCACTCTGTAGACCAGGCTCGCCTTGAACTCACAGTGATCTGTCTGCCTCTGACTCCCAAATGCTGGGATTAAAGACATTTGCCATCGCTGCCTGACAACAATTATAATTTTTAAAAACACAAAGAAAGAAAGAAAGCCTATGTTAGCGCTTCACACCTATAACCCAACACTGAGGAGACTAAAGCAAGAGGATTGCCACGAGTTCCAGGCCAGCGTGGGCTATGTTGTCAGTTTCACACCAACCTGATTTACAGAGTGAAATTGTATCTCATAACAAACAACAACAAAAATAAAAATAACCAAGCAGCGCATTGAATTGAAAGGGGACACCCCTTTACGACACTGCGCATTCGTGAGGAAGCAATTAAGTAAAACAGACAGCAAGTATGAGGTAGCAGCAATTGGAAATCTACAAGCATTCTTTGCACTTTGCCTGTCACCTTTCTGTATGTCTGAAATTATCTTAAACATTCAAAGACAACAGCAATATTTTGTGCTCTCAAGGCTTGGGGAGAGGCACATATACTATGAGAATGATAAAATCCTAAAGAAAAGGGTGTGACAGTGAGAACCCGCAAGGCAACGGAGAGGAAAAGTTGTCTGGGACCAAGTGTGGCAGGTCACATGACTTCACACTGTGACTCTCAGAGCCCCTCTCCAGCTAGCCTCCAGCAGGTGGCAGTGAAAGGGAATGAACACAGGCGTGCCTTGTGCCAGAGAAGCTGAGCCAGGGTCACGTCGAGTGGGACACAGATGGCTCAGTGGATGAGACCACATCTCTGTGCACGTGGGCAGCACGGATTGGATCCAGGGAGCTATTAAGGTGGGGGAAGAGGGAGAAGACGTTCGAAGCTGGGCAGGAGATGTGTTGGGGATGTTGTGGGCAAGTTGGAGGGAGGGAGTAAGGGTGGGTATGATGAAGATACATGGTATACAGCTATGAAGGTTTGATTGCCAGCACCCACACAGTGGCTAACAGCATCCTTAACTCCAGTTCTAGGGGAGCTGGTACCCTCTTCTGAATTCATAGGCACCAGTCACTCTACACATATATACATGCAGACAAAACACTCATACACATAAAATAAATACATCTAAAAACATTTAAGAAAAAGAGCTGAGTGGTGGTCACACATACCTTTAATCCCAGCACTCAGGAGACAGAGGCAGGCAAATCTCTGAGTTCGAGGCCAGCCTGATCTACAGAGTGAGTTCCAGGACAGCCAGGACTACACAGAAAAATTCTGCCTCTAAAAACCAAACAAAACCAAAACAAACAAAAATATTTAAGAAGAATTTTTTTAAAAAAATTTAGAGACTAACCATTTCACCTTCTTGCAAAATTTTGAAAGTTCTCATTTCCCAAAATATGAATTCTTTAAAGTATACCTGGATGTTATGTATATATATATACTTTTTAATTTACTTTTGTGCACAAGTATGTGTATATATTCATGTATATATGTATGCACACATGTGGGGGGGGCTAGAGGCCAACATGGGGTGTCTTCCTCACTTTATTTTTTTGTGTGTATGCATGTGTATGAGTGTGGTGTATATTTTTGGGTGTGCACACCCATGGGAGCACATGGGGGCCAGAATAGCCCATCAGGTATCCTATGATATCACACTCTGCCTTATCCTCTTGAGACAGGACACCTCACTGAATCTGAAGCTAGGCTGATCAAGCTCTCGTTACCCTCCTTTTGTCTCTGCACTCAACAGCTTTACGGTGTTGGGAATTTGAGCTCAGATTTTTTATTTTTCTGAGACCAGGTTTCTCTCTAGCTTTGGAGCCTGTCTTGGAACTAGCTCTTGTAGACCAGGCTGGACCTGAATTCACAGAGATCCACCTGCCTTGGCCTTCTGAGTGCTGGGAGCTCAGATTCTTACGCTCATATGGCTGGTACTTCATTATTGACTGAGCCATCTCTCCAGTCCCAAATCTGTTAGTCTGTCCTTCCTTCCTTCCTTCCTTCCTTCCTTCCTTCCTTCCTTCCTTCCCTCCCTCCCTCCTTCCCTCTCTCCCTCCCTCCCTTCCTCCCTCCCTCCCTCCCTTCCTCCCTCCATTCTTCCTTCCTTGCAGTGCTGAGGATGGAACCCAAGGCCCCTCACATACCATTCCAGACAGTGATCTACTTCCACTGAGCTATGCCCATATATATGGAAAGAGAGAGTTTTGCTATGTAACCCAGGTGGCTTCAAACTCATGATCCTCTTGCCTCAGTCTGCTGAGAGTTGGGATTACAGGTACCAGCATGCCCCACCCACCTATTTTACTAGTGTGATTTTTTAAAAAAAAATATTTATTTATTATATACACATTGTTCTGCCTGCGTGCATGCCTGCAAGCAGGAGAGGGCACCAGA